TATTAAGATTTAGTTAACATATTTTATTATTTTTACATATGATTATATTTTTAATTTTGTTAGTTTAAAGAATGAGGTTATGGTAAAAATGACTTGACAATGGACTTAGTTCCGAAACATGTCGTCATGAAAAATAAAATAATTACTAAAAGGGTACTTTGTTATATATGTTTTAATTTTATTATATTAGTAGCCCTAAAAATGCAAGAAAATAATATATATATATATATATATATATGTGTCCGTCAGCACGATAACTCAAGCAAAAATGATCCGATTTTGATGAAATTTGGCACAAACGTGTAAACCTACGTTTATTCGAACGAGTTCGCGATCCAGCATGATCGGACTATGGTAACGGGTGTTTACGGGGGGGTTTTATGGGGTAAAAATAGGTTTTGCCCATTTTTGACCCAAAAAACTTAAAATTTTGCAATTTATTTCCAAACCATTTTGTAGAGCTTAAAAAAACAAATAATTTAGTATATTGAAGCGTTATTATGCGCCTAACGGTTACGGAGAAAATTCCAAAAAATTGTAAATTTAAAATTCCCATGTTATTCTTATGGAGAATAAGTAAACTGTTGTAGTTTGCTTGTTTATGAACATATTTTGATCAAATTTGGAAAATGTTTTTATTTCTTACTAACTATTAACATTTTACAAAAAAAAAAAACAATTTTACCCTCCTTGATGCAGCAAACCTAAGTACTTGTTAAACTAATTCTATTTAAATCGGGAATAAATGTTATATTTTTAAGTAGACATTTCAGTGTAAATCCAATCAGTCAAATGGAAATTCGCTTAGTCTGCAGGTTTGCTGCGGCGGGGGTATTTAAATAACTTCTTGATCAGCATTGTACGTGTTATTAAATTTACGGAAAGTAAATAAAGATACGTCTTATAACACTTAAAACATATATTTACGCTTATACTGTTACTCACAAGACGGTAAATATACAAAAGATGGTAAGTGGTGATCGATTTCGATTGGACACTCCAATCATCATCAGACCCAATAGGCGTATTCTTTGTTGAAGTAGATATCTGCAATATTCATGGAAATCTTGATTCTTGTATCCCTATATTTTGATGCTAACTTTGCTTGACTAGCTTCACTAAATAACTTCTTGATCAGCATTGTACGTGTTATTAAATTAGATTCGCCAAATTGGGTCTGATGATGATTGGAGTGTCCAATCGAAATCGATCACTACTTACCATCTTTTGTATATTTACCGTCTTGTGAGTAACAGTATAAGCGTAAATCTATGTTTTAAGTGTTATAAGATGTATCTTTATTTACTTTCCGTAAGTTTTTAACAAACAATAGCTTAGTTGGATACAAATACTAGACTTGAGCTGCCCAAGGCCTGCACAAATCGAGGGCAAACAGTTAAAAATGTAGTGGCAGAGACCATCGAGACAAAACAAATAATCTCTAACAACAGTTTACCACTGACCCTAGTGTAAGTTAGCTGTTGTTGTTTGTATAACCATTGATATCAGAATAAATTAAAATGTATTCATAGTATGACAGTGACTTGGTCATTACAGGAAACGTATCGGTGAGGTTTAATTAACACTCAGAAATATATGAATACAATCTTACAGTTTAACCTTCTAAAATAATAAATACATAAAACCATATTTGAAGATTTAAGGGTATTAAAATGGTACTACAGTCGTTTAATTTGGACGGTTATTTAAAAATTATGGACGGAGAGTATTTCTGTCAATGGAAAAAACATACAACAGATACACAGCTTTACTCTTTCTCTTATTAAATAATTGAATTGCATTTATAATATTCGTATTGTTAATTTTGTTTACTTTTATATTCGACTAGAGACAAACAACGTTATTTAGGTTTGTTGTATCATTACTAAGATTTCAATATAAAACTATTTTATATCTTACAATAGTTTATGGTGAATAATTAAGAGGTATTTCTGTAAACATTTTAAGGTAAGGTGAGTTTAGAATGGCGTGGGATGATTTAGGTATGTAAATTTGCTAACCCTTTTTTGGGATGTGATAATAAAAATCACAATAGCAGAGCACGATTCTACAATTGTTTTCATTAATTGTGGAAAGTCGTCAAAATTGAATAGTGCAAGTAATCTTGTTATTCTCGTAAAATATGGTTAGTTTTTGTGCGTTTCATGTTGGTGACACTTGAGTGCACTGGTGTAGTATAACGATTTCTCATTATTTACAGTGTGGTTTCCCAATTTGAGGGAGGAAACCCCATAAATAATATAAAATAAAATGGTACAAACCAAAACAATAATACCGGTATACGAGATACACCGGACTGAAGAGACATTACAATAAGTCGATCCATTACGACAATAATTTGTATAACAGAGTATGTTTAACCAATCTTATTATTAAATACTAATATCTATATAACCATGTGGGTATCCGAGTTGTCCTACGATCGCTTGTACTCGCATTTAAAGCGAGATCTATTTTGATTTTGGACCCAATGATGTTTATTGGGCTACGATTTATGATGCTTCTGATCAATAGGTCAACAATATATATTAAGAGCAATTGGGTTTGAACGGTTAAAGAAAAATGTTTCGCACAGGAAATCACAAAATACCAGTAGATGACGTGTGCACTGCTACGGCACTGGGATCACAAAGTAGATCAGGAAAACAGCGTAGAGAAAAGTAGTTTTACCGAGTCGCACAATATTTTTCTAGAATTACTCCAGATATTTCTCACAATTACAACGCTACCTCTCTCATTTTCTCCCGCAAGTCGGGTTGGTCCATTTGCAGTTATTTATTCAGTAGAGCTGTATTTGTACTCTCGTCCGCACACAACACACACAGTTCTTGCAGTATTTCATGTTATATGTCCCTGTGGATGAACAATATTTACTGGACAAGATCCTACTTTGTCGTTTACCTTACAATCGTGCAATATATTTTTTAACATGCTTCATAGAGAAAAAGGTCCAATGTGAGAGGTATAGAAATTTAATAATATGATGATAAAACGAATTGCAGGTAGAAAATCAATTTTTTAATTCCTAGTATAATTGTGTTCAACGTTTTACTATTATGCGTACATTATCGGTTAAATACCCAACTAGAATGATAAGTGGTTTGTTTTGAAACACACCAAAATCTGTAGAATTAAATACATAAATGTTCAAGGTTAGAGAAACGCTTAAGTAAAGGTGTTAATGATATTTACTTGTAGTTACATTACGATCCAATGAGACGTACTGAAAATACTGGGTTTGTTTACTATAAAGTTATTCAATGAGATTTACCGGCTTGGACATTTTACGTGTCCTATGCTAAATCAACAATAATAGAACAACTTTATAGAACAATAATAGAAACTTTCTTCGGTGTATTTTAATTTACAAATTTATCTTCAAATCTAGCAGATGCATTCTAAAGTTAATTAATTGTGAAATGCATGTACTAAATCGTACATGTAGTAATTGTTTTGTCAACTGGTTTTTATCATAAATAAATACTTTGAATAGAATTGAATTGTGATCTCATAAACATCAATTAAGCTTTCATGCATAAATACAATTTGTGAGGTTTCAAATACATTACAATTATTTTGACTGAGAAGAAAAGATCATACAACTTTTATAAAACTATAAAACAACTATAAAATTTAACTGCTCATTGTGTAAAGTAAAAGTATAAAACAAGTTGGGTGAGGAAGTCTCACTGGTACATTTTATGAAGCAAAGGTTGCATAGATAATGGACTAAACTGCACTGCTGCACAATGCTGCATACTGCATAGTGTTGGTAAAGTCACGTTCTTCATTCTATATATTTCAACAGCATTGCCAACATAAAATGGAAAAACAATCTTACATTGATTGGTTTATGGTGAAAGAAGCTAAATAACAATGAAATGATAACGAAAAAAAATAATTGTAACGACAAAGAATAAAGCAAGTAAATTATTAGTGATATAACCACAGAAAACTGAATGTACATAAAATTAACCATTGAAAAAACAATACCAATATAATAACAAAATAACAACAACAAAGCAATGTTTCCTCAACCTAGAAAAACCTTGTTTGTTTCTTGATATTTTATAAGGCCTTTTAACGATGACCTCCCAAGAATCATATGTTAGTTTAGTGCTACTGTAAAATTTTTGTTATTTGTAAATTCGAGATTTTATATTCTAATTTATTTTGTTATTGTGTGTTTATTTTATTTCCTAAACAATATTCAGTATAATTGTAAAATTAACGTAGAAAGTATTCTCCGCAAATATAATTTCCCTGTTTGAGAAAATGCCCTTCAGCATAGTTACAAGATGTTTTTTTGTCTGTGTTAACATACAAGCATTAATTAACTAAGAAATTAAAAGCACACAACTATCGTAGAAGAACTGAAGGTTCTAGTGTACTTTTACTACTTCAGCGCGCAGCCAGAACGAGACGAAACTTGAGAAGACTCTACAATTAACAATCAGACATAAAATAAGAGTTCGCTGCCCCGGACAACACTTACCGATCCTATACCTTACACAGTAAACTTTAAACGTGATGTGTACTCGTACAAGTCCTTATTACCTGGGAAAACTAGTGTGCAAAGTAAATTTGTTGATAGGGTAGTTGATTTAAAAATGAGATCTCTAAGCTTGTAAAAACCACATACTTTGTATAACTGTACTTAATAAGATCGCTCTACCCCCTAAGCGTCCAAAACTAATAATAAATTAATCATAATTGAAAAGAAGGTAAAAATAACATAGGCAATAATTGTTCAAAGATTTACTCCATTATGATAAAGTACTTATTACATAATTAATTAAGTATAACAGGGGCTTAAATTGATTTCAAACTGTTAAAAGAATAGTACGAATGATTTATTTTTTGAAGTTTCAAATTTTAGAATAACACAAAACCCAATGAAACAGGTAAACTAATATAAAATATAAAAAAATCTAGAATTCAAAAACGTATGAAAAAAAAAATAAAAAAAAAAAACTTACCGTTCGTAAGAATGAGACATCATCCTGCTCCGATCCTCCTTCGCTGTCCGCCATGGTTCCTCACAATAAACAAATAAATCCACAAAACTATCACTCCGGCCTAGCCGCACATCATGGACTCCTCGAGATATCGTAAGTCGACGGAGATGCGACGTCGGACGCCGCTACTCCAAGACTGACTAGGAAGCGTCGCGTCGCCGCCGCGGGTAGCGCTAGTGTCGCGACGGTGATTATGTAACGGTGGGCACATGGGTTAGGTATGTGAAACCATAGACATAGGCAATGTGTTGGGGTATGAGTTATCAAAATGTTGAAGGTTGTTATGTATTGTGGAAAGAACAGCTGATTTTATACAGTAAAGTATCTTTTACAGTAACACTCTTAACATTAAACAGAACTAGTTGGTATCGTCCCCAACGAGCTTCACTTCGTTTTAATTCATAAGTATTAATAAAACTATTTATTGGTTAAGATAAACTGAAACAAACAAAATATAATACAGTAATACAAACAAAATAATCACACCTGATTTTAATAAGGTAAACAATTGAAGAGAATAACAAACAAATAATTATAGCTGAGGTATTTTTAACATTAGGTATATGGAAAGTTCACTTTAGAAAGGAATTAAGACCTTAAAGGATAATTTATAAGATAATGGATAGTTTTGCGCAGGGTTTCTCGTCAAGTAAATGGTTTATGAGGGTGTGTGACGCGTAGTTCATGAGTACTTTGGGATTTATATGTGGATTGCAAAAAAATGTAATAGTGCTTAACCTTGTTGGTAAACCTTATACATTTTTAATGCTATTGAATATCATGGAACCAACTTGTTTGGTCAAATCAGTTGACAAAATTATTTAATTCCTTTTGTGAAAGCCTATAAGGTTAACATGGGACACTCCAGAGCCACTGGGGCGGAGCCTGAAAGGAGTTTTGAGATAACATTCCTATATGTTAATCGAGAATGTGAGCTATCATCACCCCAAATTTCAGCCCAATCCGACCAGTAATTTTCGCGCTTACTTGTCACAAACATCCATCCAATCTTTATAATATTAGTAGGGTAAAGTTTGTATCAATTTAATGGAGGAATGTTTACCTGCTAACGCCTCTAAATCGTGTTCTTCATCCTAGGAATATTAATCGATTCTATAACAGCATCAAAACATGTTATTTAAATACGTCAGACCATTTATTTAAATCCTTCTGGTAGACCGATGCAACTGTTTATTGTACCTATAATAACACCATGGAAAACCCAGTTTCTTCAAACGATAGAACATATTTGTTGTAGTGTATTTCATATAAACTACGGACATTCCATTTGTAACGGGTAATAAAGTGATATTAAGAATGACACATACCTTAGACGGCACTGTGTACTTAGGCACATAGTTTAGTGTGATCGTGTGCGGTTCACAGTTTAGTATACAGAGTAAGCGGATTGTAGTCAGCCCAGAGATGATTTACTAATCTAATAACGTGACCTAGCTACAGAGAGGGGGGTACAGTGGGAGGAGGGGGGTACCGTAGGGGGGTTAATCCTATCGGGGACGTTTGTTTACATTTACACTCAGCCCTCATCTCTGCATTACACGGTTGCGCGCTCTGCCGTTCTCTCTGTGTACTTGTATTACAAAGTATGCCTCAATAAGAGGAGCTTGTAATGTACAGTGTGTAATAGTCTGCTCAAGGTATTTATTTACATGACGTTGAGACACACGCAATGAGAAACAAAAATAACGTTGAGACACACGCAATGAAAAAAAAAATGACGTTGAGACACACGCAATGAAAAACAAAAGTGACGTTGAGACACACGCAATGAAAAACAAAAATGACGTTGAGACACACGCAATGAAAAACAAAAATTACACTTTCTATTTTGTTGTGATAGATATAGTGGTAGAGAGGATGCAGTGCTCGCCTAGTGTTTAGGAAATGCCTGTTTGACACTGAAAACACCCAGTAACTTCAGCAAGTAAAAGTTTAAACTGGACCCAGTCGTCATTGATCTTTCAACAAATGGTTCTGGCTAAAGAACCAGGTTTGTTATTATGAAGAAGGTAAAGAACCATAACGAATCATAATATATAACATAAAAGAACCAGGCAAAGAACCGTTATTATATCTTGACAATATTAGTCAAGATATAATCATATCCATTCAAAACCCATCATTTACCCATCTTCAACCTGAAACCCATCCTTCTGGCTCTACGGCTTCGTACACACAAGATGACTCAAGATTTGCTACATCTCATCCAAGGGTATTAAATCGACGACGCAGTGTGTTTATATAATAGCATGACGCTGTTAGTTGCGTTATTGTCTTTAATTCATATTTGTGTCCTTGTTTCAAAGTGATACTGATAATAACCAGGACAATAAAGACCAACGTTTCCAAAATGTTTTTGTATTTTGTATACCTAAGAGGAGACTTTCTATGTACAATTTGTAAGCCAACCTTCATCTAGACTAGTCCCATAAATTATACAAAACGCCCTTGGTAATGCGCGGTTTTAACTTTGACTCATTCCCTGCGTTTGCCAAAATATCAGCTAGACACTTAAAATATCATCAATGACCTGTTCCAATTGAGTGTAGGATTCGGTTCCGTACAATTTAACCGCGAGTTGATTTAGCATCTCACTTTGTACTGCAAGTTAAATATCCGCTGTAACTTAATGACTCGTACAAGTGCCCAGTACTTCATTTTTGCCACGAACCAAAGTGTACGGTAAATAAACAAACAAATCAAAACCTAAAACACCATTTGGAAGAAGTGTTATGGTACTGAATAGCGTGCAAGTGTAAGTTTAAATTAACAACCAATTTCTCTAAAATAGTTTGTATTGAAAATGAATACTCAAAACACATCAAGTTAGTAATTTCTGGGAGGAGGGATGTTAAACTAAAAATGGAAATTGTTTTTATTTCGTCAATCGACATTGTTGGTGTTCATCCAAAGTTGGACTAGGCAAACAGGCATCAATTTAAATGTAAGGCTATTTTTGAAATCCCACTTAATCAGGAGTTATTAGGTAAAGCTATTTTGATTTTCTTACACTTTCTTAAAGGTTAATGACTTTCTTACAGTGTATACTGACTTTTCTACAGTGTATACTGACTTTTCCTACAGAGTATACTGACTTTCTTACTGTGTATACTGACTTTCTTACAGTGTTTACTGACTTTCTTAAAGATTAATGCCTGTCTTACAGTGTATAGTGACTTCCCTGCAGTGAATACTGACTTTCCTACAGTGTATACTGACTTGCTTACAGTGTATAATGACTTTCTTAAAGATTAATGAGTTTATTAAAGTGTATACTGATTTTCTAACAGTGTATACTGACTTTCTGACAGTGTATACTGACTTTCCTACAGTGTATACTGACTTTCTTACGGTGTATACTGACTTTCTTACAGTGTATACAGACTTTTTTTACTGCGTATACTGACTTTCTTTATGTGTATACTGACTTTCTTACAGTGTACACTAACTTTCTTACAGTGTATACTGACTTTCTTACAGTGTATACTGACTTTCTTATATGAGCTTGGAATTAAATTTTTCTTTAAGCCAAGCGTAATGTATACCGATGAAATTTCATGGACTATTTATGAAAAAGACGATGGACCATATTTCCCCCTTGGATGAATTAGTGAGCGTGAAGAATAGTGCAGCCTGGCGAAATATATAGTTAAACACAATCACACGGCCTTCAAGTGTCTTCTATCCAAAAATTTACCGATTTTCCTAATAGGGATTAAGCTTAAATTATTTTTGCACAGTTTATTAATTTACAAAGTTAATTTATTATTAGTTTTACACTCATAATTAGTTTCTCCTAATGTATTCAAAGAATAATGTCTTTGTAAATAGTTTATCCTAGAATTGTAATTTAATACCATTCAGTTTACCTTATTTTATTCCACATTTTTGGCTATATTTTTTAAGGAATATTCACCTAGCGATAAGTTTTTCCTGGGATGCTGGATCCACGGTACGGAGCAAGAGACCAGCTCTGTGGTCCAGACTAGAAGCTGTCCCAAAATAACCGCAGATCCCCGGGGAGCGACAATCGCTTTACAACAATCACCACATTCCGCGGAGATGTCTCACATTGTGTCTCACATTTAAAATTATTATTCGCAAAATTCCGTTACGTAAATTAGTTAGACATCTGGGAAAAGTTGTTTTATAACATTGAAATCTGTGAATGTAAACACGTTTATAACGTACAAAACAACAAGTGTTTGGAAGGATAATTATTCTTATTTTTACCCACTTTTATTGTTTTGTTACGGTAAAAGTTAATAAAAATTATTTTCCAAAATACTTAACGCCTAAATATAATCTCATTCTTAAAAGTCGATTGATAACAGAGCCCGTGGAAAGATTTAATTTAAAATAAAATCTTAGGGTGGATATTATTGATTGTATTTGTCAAAATAATTGTGTGCAAACAGTTTCCTTAAATCTCGTATATGAATTTTAAGGATGGTGTTTTTGGCCTGTGGGGACATAAAAAAAGTTTATCGGTCGTGGGTCAAGGTCTCACCATGAAAACTAAGGCAACAGCTTACTCCCTATGTGGGAAATTCTTTATAAGACAACTTTTGATTGGAAAAGCAAGTATAAATTACAAACGTGTGCGATAATGTGCTACGGTCAGGTCCGCCTGAAATAACAGGCTTGTGTCGAGACATACGTGCCTGGAGTGAACATTGCAGCTTTTATCTTACAGGCGTTTGGAATTAAATCTTTCTCTCTAACCTATGCGCCATTTATACTATAACCTAATACTATAATACTTTACTACTACAAAAAATATGGAACATTAAATAAATCTACAAATTAATTTATTTTCAATAATCATTGACTATACACAGAATAGACTTCCCATGTGACAATATTCTGTGAAAGTGATAAATCAATCATACTCTGGTGAGATGGTCCTGAACTTCATCTATTTTCTCGGCTTCAAAATTGTATTTAATTTTATTGATTGTAGTCATCATTTACAGAGATAATTGTACAAAAACAATATACACGAACTTTGGAAAATACAAACATAGATAAGGCAAAGACCCAATTATTCTATATCAGTACTGTCTGCACAATTTACACATAAGATGTATCTATTCAAGGAGATGCTT